TGAAAATGACAACATATAAAAGGAAAATAGCACACATTCACACATTCCTGCAGAAAACTGCTCTAAACATACAGCCAGAGGAACTGCGACATGGTTTAGATCAAAGCATATTGACAAGACTAGTTTAAATCTAGAGCTGTATCCAATACAGCAGACTTGGGAACAAATTGAACCCCAATGATGTACTTTATCCAAACTAATCGGCTGTTTTCCAAGGAAGAATAGGCACAATTCTCCTTCTCTAGGTCAGCCAAGAAGCTAAAATGAAACTCCAAAAGACATGCAGCTATAATTGCTTTAAGAGGTTGTTCAAAATTGTGCATTGTTGTCCTTATTTGATCACAACTATGAGCTACCTGATGTTGATTGATCACAGATCTTCAAAGTAAAACCTGGGATGAGATGCTGTTACAGTGCAGAATTTGAGAAAGTTGCAGGGCTATGATGATAGAGGCAGTGCAGCACCAATTAACATACTCTACAGAGGGAAGTGCATATGTATTTTTATAACATAAATGACATATTGAGAGCATAGTGCAAACTAAGCCAGATTCCTTGCTTGTGTGCACAAATGTGCCCGATGAACCCGCTTCTAATTAACCCAACTGGCAGAAAAAGCAATTAGCAAGAAAAAAAAATCACTTATTGATCACTGTTATACAACAACACAGCCAAACCTGATCTGCGCTGACTCTGACTAGAAACAAAACCAACATCTAACAATAAGTTTCTCGTAAACTAATGCATTCTATACTAATTTCTTCTGCAAAAATAAAAAATAAAGATGTGTTTATTTTTCTGTTCTTATTTTTTTATCTATTAGTGTATGCTTCTGTCATAGGTGTCATGTTGCAAGGTGCATCATCAGGATCAAGTGACACATTGTGCCGATTGGTGCGCGTGCAGCAGTCAGTGTGCATTTCAGTTACCTGGCAACCTCTTTGAGAAAGTTGTAACAAGAGTCAGGCATGAGAAACATGCAGTGTCAGTGGATAGAATAACTCTACACACTTCAGTGCATTTGACATGTCATCCATGAGGTTACAGTTATAGGTTTTTTTTTCCCTGTAAAGTATCTGATTTTTTGTATTTGTGTTGGATGGGTGCAGAGAAAGAGAAAGATGGGTTCTTCTTACCATCAACACCGATGTTCTCACAGCTTCAGAGACGCTCTGCCTGAGCTCCGCCGCGGTCCCAGGTTTATTGAGGCCCCTGGTAAACTTCCTGGGCTCAGGTGGAGCAGAAGCCATGGCAAAGTCCACCTTTCATCAGATGGCCAGGTGCTGAGAGGACCAATAAGACTAGGAGCGTTTTGATTCGGAACTCCCCCTATAGGATACTGATACTGAATTACAGCGTTACTGAACCTGAGAGAAACTTCAAACATAGGCTCTCAGCACGAGCGCCGCGCATCAGGGGCCACGGGGACAACCCGGGTAAAAAGGACACGCCCATTTCTCTGGGCATTGGTGTCCAATTGGACAGCACTGCCAAACAATGCCCTGACCGCCTTCCTACTGGGTTATATTTGGAGTGTCTATATGTTTATCCACGTTTAATAAAATTTTTGTTGTAATTCTGCATAACTGGTGCTAAACATTTTATAAGCTTTCATAACTAAGAGGCACTAAAGCTACGCTACATATTGCGCTCACCTTGCCACGGTCCGACACCCCCACCTGCTGGAGTAGGGGTGTAACTACACATGAAAAAAATGACGCATTGGTTTTTGCGTAGCCATAGCAATGAGGCGTCAAGTACATCCGCCATATTGCGAGTGGAAACCTGACTTGAGGCGCGATAAAAGTATTATTAGAAGGAAAATAAAGTTAAAATAAGTTTTTGTGTTGGCTGTTTGAAAAGAATAAAAAAGTAGAAATGAAAAAAGGGAAGGTTAATGTGCACTTTAAGTCAAACTATATGGCAAAAGAAGGCCTTTAGAAGGGATTTCTCTGATGTAAAAATGTATCTGATGAAACATTGGTACCAAAAAGGAACATTTAACCAAAGACAAATTTTCTTATGGTTTGTAATTTCTTTTGAAAAATTGTATTAGTATTCTGCTTGATGGAGACACCGTACATTCAGCAGAAAACAGTCATGATGCTTACTGAATCAATTTAAAATCAAAAAAGCATAAGAATAAAATAGAGATAAATGAGATAAATGTTGTAAATTCTGCTTTTTAAGCAGTAAATAAAGCTGTTTGCAGTCATATGGATTTGATTTCTTAGTATGATCATATTAAGGTCTTTGAAAATTCAATTTGTATATTGCACATTTTTTGTAGAGTGTGTGGTTTAACCACACAGTGGCAGTAAGGTATCACTAATTAAATATCTGCTTGGTGCCTTCAGTGTCATTAAGATGAAATATTTATGTGTTGCAGTTTTGAGCCACCCCCTCATTTTTTTCTAGTGCTCATAAAAAGAACCAGATGTTCATGTTTATATCAGAATTCTCTTTTTCATCAATCTTTATATATGACATTGTAATATTAATTTGCCTGTTTTCTTAAGCCTTTAACAACAATTTCAGAGATTTATTTAAACATTAAACATCATAATCAAGATACTAAAAATGTGTTTTTAAAATTATTATGTATTTGATCCACATTATGGCTAACAGCCTGTGGCAAAAACACAATCTGTTAAAGATTTTAATCGGTTTAAAGACTTTTTTAGCACCAGTTAAATCTTGATTTCTTTGAAGCATATTGAAAAAGAAAGTTTCAACCATATGAACGACCAATGAAAGAGGCCAACTGTGAAGTTGTTTGATGCAATATGAATTAATACTGCATCAACCCTTCAACCCAATCCTAAAAGATCTGTTTTGATCATGGTTACTCTGGAGGAGCTGCAGAGATCTGCAAGTTAGATAAAATGATCTTTTACAGATTATCCCACTTGAGCTGTGGATCTTTCAAGCAAGTAGGGGGAAAAAAGAAAATCAATTGTTGAAAAGAAAAGCCAAAGGAAATATTGTTAGCAGTCTGCCAAAAGCCAGGTAGGACACAAATATGTGAAAAAGGGCTACCTTTAATTAATCTAAAAGATTTTCAGGGGTAAAAGTTAGATTTGGAAAATTTTTATGGTCATTTAGTATGCACAGAGTGTATTAAAAAAAAAAGAAATTAGTTGTGGAAGTTCAGAGCATTAAATATGTATTGTGTAAATATGCAGTGTTTTGGTTTGGCGTTATCAGTTTGATGCAGAGTCTATGATTGATTTAGTGTTTTCTCATCAGTTCTAAACTTATACTGCACATCAGCCTGGACATATGTAATAATAATAATAATAATTGAACTTTAGAGAAGTTAAATCTCAGAATTTTGGATCTTAATGTAGATGGGCCCCATGAAGGAAGAGATGTGGGAGCACTCAGCTTCACTGACAAAGATATGAGTTGTTTGAGAACGCCAGTGACACATTGGTGGAAAATTATGAAATTAGGCAACTTTTTATGTGCCTGAGGCATCCCTGGTGATTTTATTTCATTAATGGAAGAGCTAACATGTTTGTTAGCTGTCACAATTCAGTCAGAAATCTTAGATTGAAGTCAGAATTCCCCCCAAAAAGTCTGAATTCTTAGATTAAAGTCAGAATTCTAATAAAAAAAAAGTCTGAATTCTTAGATTAAAGTCAGAATTCTAAAAAAAAGTCTGAATTCTTAGATTAAAGTCAGAAGTCTAAAATAAAAAGTCTGAATTCTTAGATTAAAGTCAGAATTCTAAAAAAAAAAAGTCAGAATTCTTAGATTAAAGTCCAAAGTCTAATATAAAAAGTCTGAATTCTTAGATTAAAGTCAGAAGTCTAATATAAAAAGTCTGAATTCTTAGATTAAAGTCAGAAGTCTAAT